CGGAAGAGCTGCCCTTGGGCAGCGGCACAGGAAGGACGGTGGTGAAGTGTGGGAACCGCTGCTGGTCCAACTGCAGGGACTTGATGTGGTCAGCCTCAGGGTGGAGAGGACTGGAAGGCCTGGCAGGAGGCAGGAAGGCCAACGTTCCTGCAGGAGGCAGCGTGGGAGGCTCGGGCTCTGTGCTCCAGTGACAGAGACCTGGAAAGGGTGATATAGTAGGAGGGTCCGGCATCTCCAAGGGGGACTGTGCGGCTGTCCCTGGAGGACACCAGAGCCAGGGCTCGGGCGGTGCAGGAGGCTGTGGGACCATCCCCATCTGCTCCCTGCAGCTGCTGGTGCCCTGTCCCTCCTGCCTCTCCCAGCCTCCCCAGAGAGAGCAGTCCTCTCCTTTGCCTTCCCCTACCCCTTCCCCTCTGGTATGGGCGGATTCCTCACCATGGAAGGTGCCTGGGCTCCTGCCCCAACCTCACCCCAGCCCATCAGAGCGTCCTCTACCCATCCCAGCTGTGGGCATCCCTGTGCCTCTGCACCTGACCCTGAGCTCCGCGAGTCAGGGACAGCCTGCTTATTTCTGTGACCCCAATAGACAGGGGAGTTGAAACTGTTATAGTCTAACTAGCGCAGAGAGGACATCTAGACACAGTCAAATTTATTGGAGTTTATTGATTAAGCTGGTGGCATGGGGGGGATTCATGTCTCTTAAAACCCCATAGCCAGGAGTATAAGGTGGAGGGTGTTTATCAAGGCAAAAATCACACTCTTTTTTTGGGTTGGGCGTGAAAGGGTAGGGGGTAGGGTTTTATAATGTAAAAGTAAAAGTGAATTACAGAAGTGAAAAAAGCAGGTTAGTTATTTTTAAGGGTATGTTTTATCTCTACCTAAACACCGTGGAATCTTAATGGTCTATGGCTCAGGGCAAGGGGTCTGGCACAGATGACTACCACTAAGGAAGGGCTGGGGTGGGGAGTGGGGTTACTTAGCGAAGACAGGATGAGCCTTAGTCACTGTTTACTCTAGGCAGGAGAAAGCCAGTTTCCAATACAGAGAGGAGTTCAAAATGGAGGTCTGCTTCATTTTCTACTTTTTAAAATGGGTATCAAATCATCGATTTCTCAGCATCAGCTAGAGGGCAGGGTGATAGTCTCTTTTGGCAGGTAAGAAGTTTTACTGAGGGACCAGCAGTTGGCGTAATGGCTATGTCACTGGACTCCCATGTAGTTGACCGTGGTTCGAGTCCCAGACCCTGTAACGTAAAACTCATGCCAGGTGCATGCGAGTGCGGTGTCCAAGATCCCCAGAGGAGAATGGAGGAGAAGGGATTGCAGAGTGGCCATCCCCCCTGTGGGGTGATTTCTCACTTTCTGTCTCTCTCTCCTTGTCTTTCTGGCCAGTGCACATGCCCTATAGCAAAAAGCTCTCAGAAAAGAAGTTTCACCAAATGTTAAGTCTAGTTTGAACTAACTTGGGCTGATTTTACGGTTTTTAGTTGCTGGGCACAGTTGCTTACCCACAGGAGTGTCTGGTCACACTGGCCTGAGTGTGGTATGCTCACTAGGTGCAGTCGCTTACACGGAGGTCGTGATACAACACTTTTTAAGACAATGGAAGCAGTTTATGGAAGCAGAACAGTATCTGGTTAGGTATTTATGGAAATAACACAATTTTTTGTAAAACAGAACAATTTTTTTTGAGTTTTTAAAAATATTTGTTAAGGAGAGTCACTCTGGCGGTGTAGTGTCCGATATGTTTGGGCTCTAGGTCCAGAGGTAACTAGCATTTAATATTTAAGGTAGGAGATGGACAGGTAAGAAAATCCAGTAAACTAGAGCTAAAAATTAAAATTGGAGCACAGTTAATAGAGGACTTAACAGGGGCAAGGGCCAAGGAGCCTGTTATGAGAGGCTGGTCCTTTTTTTT